TCTGACAACACTCTTTCTTTTGGGCAGGTGATCCCATCTCACTCATAATATAAAAAATAAGAATCTGAGATATAGGTCATAGATTTGTCGGGTCATGTGGCTCATAAATTAAAATTACAAATCCAGTATTCTTTCTTTTCTAGTAGAAAAGAAATTAAAATTTAAGTACTAAGAAACAGAGGTCATGTCTGAAGTGGCTGTGCTGACTGGTACCTGAGCTGACACAAGAGAGCAGCACTGAACTTGCCCTGATACTCTTTGGGGCTGTTTGGATGGTCTCCCACATGGAGATCGGCTTTCTTCATTGATTAAAAATCTGTCTTCACCTCTTGCTTCTTTTTATGCTTTTCATACTACCTGTAATTCAGGACCTTTGTATGTATTGTAATCTTAACTACTGCTGCTGCTGTGTTAAGGAAGGGGGAGAAATTTTTTATTCATCTTTGAAAAGAAAAAAGGTAGGATACTATTATAGGATATTTTTATTCTATTGTCAGAAAAGTGCATGCTATAAATTTGAGGTTTAGTCTTGTAAACCCAGAGTTTAGTTGCAATTAATGTCAACCCTCCCTACAGATTTTCCATTGGAAACTTTAAGACTTTCGTGACTTCAAATCCAGCAACATTCAACAGCTTCCCCAGCCCCTGGACATATGCTGCTTTCTTCCTTGTGCTGCCTTCTTTCTCCAGTGTACTTTCTTCTCTTCTGTACTTTCTGAAGTGTTCTTCATGTTTCAGGTCCTCTGTAGAGTTTGTACTAGTTCTTTACAGCATCTTCAAGCTCCAGCAGCATTTGTTTGTACCCTTTCATCCCACTGCTGTACTCTCACTGTTGATATGATTTGCAGCCTAATGGCAGTGTCTGTGAACTTTATAGACCTCTGCCTCTCTCAGTAAATTGTGAGTTCTTTAAAGGCTGGGATTGTAATGTATTTGTCTTATTAACTCTAGTACTTTGCAGGATGACCTGTCTAGTAGATGTTCAATAACTATTGGATTGAATTTGTGTTTGTTTTAGGTACTTTGCAGCAACTCAGTTTGAACCCCTGGCAGCAAGATCTGCTTTTCCTTGTTTTGATGAACCAGCATTTAAAGCCATATTTATTATCAAGATCATACGGGATGAGCACCACACTGCTTTATCTAATATGCCTAAGGTACTGTTTGTTCTGTTCTGGGAAGGTAAAATCTATGAGTGACTCTGTAGCTTTAAGAACAGTTGGATTCCTTGTAACTACCTATGCTAATGAAGGAATATTTAGAATCATATACATAAGTGCTCTTTCTGAAAATAGTTAAATAAAAATCAAAACGAAGTCTGAGAAGCACTTAAGGAACACAAAGAACCTGAAGGAGTTTGACTGGATGGGTAGGGGGTGCGAAGTGTCTTTTTACTTCACAGTTGTGCAGGTATTAATACTTTGAACCAGTACAAGGTTAGTGATATTTTCTGAGACATTATGAATTTTCTCTTATAAATAGTGTTATTTTATAGTGTTGTGATTCCTCTTGGTGTTCTGGCAAATGATAATTTGACCTTATTGTCACTTGAAGATTAACAACAAGAGCAGAAACCTCTTTCTTGAATACTAGCTCTGCATGGGGGGGAGGTATTGGGGATAAAATCAAGTAGAGAAGTTTTACACTCAACAGAACCTAGAGTTTCTTTTGTATCTACCTGAGGGACTGTGTGCAGCCTGTGGGTGCTTCCTCGAACCTATGTGGCTAGGGGTGAGGAGCAGCCACAGCCAACAGGACAGTCTGTCCCTACAGAAAACAGACAGCATGATCTTTCCTTAACCAATACAGTACTGTCACAGTACCAATTCTAGCCATATTCCTCGCCTTAATCATTATCTAAAAGAAGTGGGCACCTATTTCCCTAGTATCTCAAAACAATTTGATTCATGGTTGGAAAATCAGGTGAATTGCTGGCATTCTTGATCTTGTGTTTGTGACCAAGTGACCTAGGTCCAGTGACCTAACACATTTTAGCTCACTAAGCTTTCTTGGAGTCCTCCATCGAGCATTGGATCGTATGGAGTGATGTCTTACCTGTGGTTCTTTTGTCTTAAAGTGGAGTCTCCTTAGGTCATTGGGGCATGGGAGAGTGATGGGGTTTTTAAATGAAGAAACAGAACCACTGCTACACCTGACAAATGTTGGGGTTTCTGCTGTACTTAGTATATCCTCTTGATGAAGGGCCAGGCTCTCTCCAGAAACTTGTGTGGAGATATTAAAATATATAATTATTGCCTATATGAAATTTTAGTTTCTCAGTCTGTCATTTATTACTACAATTATAAAACTGTCATCTTTTCTCTTTGCCTGTAGAAGTCCTCAATTCCTATAGAAGATGGTCTTGTTCAGGACGAGTTTTCTGAAAGTGTGAAGATGAGCACATACCTGGTTGCATTTATTGTGGGGGAGATGAGGAACCTGAGTCAGGATGTAAATGGAACCCTGGTATGTTGGTACAGTGTTTGTCTGAAAGTCCGTTTATGATAGGTTAAGTGGAAGTTGTCTTTTTAATTCTTATTTATTTACTTATTTGTGTGTATGAGTGTTTTGCCTACATGTATGCACCTGTGTCATGCAGTGTCCACAAAGGCCAGAAGAGGGCACCAGATCCCCTCAAACTGGAGTTACAGATGGTTGTGAGCCACCCTATAGGTGTTGGGAATTGAACCCAGGTCCTCTGCAAGAGCAACCAGTGCTCTTAACCATTGAGCCATCTCTCCAGCCCCATAAGTGGAATCCATTTAATTCTTGATGATGGTTTTAGGAAGACAAATTTTTAGATAGTATTCTGACATTTTATACCAGAAATGCTACTCTTGCTTAACTCTTATTTACTGCTATTCATTTAATACCTGAAAGTCAATGATTTTCAAGTTTCTTATTTTATAAGAGAATTCTATTAAGACAACAAAATCTAAAATTTCTATAACTTTGCTGTATAATACTGTGGTCACTAGCCTTATATAGCTATTTAGAGTTAAACTAAAAATTAATTAAATTTTAAGAATATCTTTATTGGCTTTACTTGCCATATTTCAAGAGCTACAGTAGCATTTATGTGGCTTGTGGCTATTATATTGGATTGGCTGTAAAATGAGATGATTACTCTTTAAAAAATCTTAGGGGCCTGGGTATAGCTCGGCAATATTGCCTATATTGAAGCATGTTTATGACCCTGGTTTCAGTGCCTAGAACCAGAAGAGGGGGTCAAAAAGCAAGTCCTGATCGAATTTACTCATAGAGAATGAGTAAGATTGCTTAACTTTAGGGGCTGGTTTTTTCAAAATTGATTGCTTAATAAGGCTTCTTTGTTGTTGTCATTAGTATCTGTCTGTTTTAAGTTTTTATTTTGCAGTAGAGATTTGACAAAGCTAATCTTTCACATACTGATGCTATAGGAGAAAAGACTCTTTTTAAGCACCTACTTCCTTCTTTTCTTACCTTCCTGTCCCCCCACCCCATCTGCTATGCTGGTTTTGTGATGCCTTTAGAATGACATTGAAACTCATCCTTTTGATATTTAAGGTCTTCCTTATGTTCAGCTGTATTTTTAATTGTTCCAATGTGACTTCTTTGATATATCAAAGTATAATTATTTAGTATTTACATATAGAGCCCATACCCCCCATGTATATGTGCATGACTGGGAAGAAAGATTGAGAAGGAGTTTCTAGGAACTTTCTTAGGAAGTGGTGGTAGCTTTGATTTCTCTCTATTACTAGCAGCATGGTTTAGCAAGACCCTATATCTCCCTGGTTTGGAATCTTTCCTACACAATTTATTAACTCTAAGTTTGTGCAGAGATTACATTCTAATCTTCTCTAAACCTCACCTTCCAGGACTATATTATTATTATTACACACATATTATACACACACACACACCTACCTCTACATGTACATGTACATGTGCATACATATTAGTGGCATTAGTCCCATATTGCTGATGAGAGCACAGTGTCTCAAAGAGGTTGTGTCATTGACCTAAGATCACATAGCCCATGAGAGATAGCCAGTTTCACTTTCTACCATAATGCGTTGCTTCCTTCATCAAGTAACATTAATAACTTGTGTAAGTGTGATGACTAGAAACTCAAAATGTGACATGTAATAAAGGATTTTTGTTATGCTAAGATGTTGAACTGTAGCTTCTATTTTGTAATATTCAACAGTAGTTCTATTTAACAAGAATAAAGAAGTGGAGTTTAACTCAAGTGATTCTTATCAACCAACTAAAAGTGCCAAAATTGACTGTGTTACTGTATATGTCCTGTTAGTAGAGACTGCTTTGATATCAGAGCCTTGAACAACAGGATTGGGGGATATAGTTCATTGATAGAGTGTTTGCCTAACATGAGCAAGGCCTTAGGATCAATATTCTTAAATTTCTCTCTTCAGTAAAAAGTGAAAGATTCATTCTAAAGAGACATAAGAATCTGTCTCCCTCCCTTCAGGAATGCCAAGATTACCTGAAAAATTGTGGGCCACTTATGAAATATTCTGCTTTAAAAGTTTCTCTTGAGGTTTTGGTTTTGTTCTGTTTTCCTGCTTCCTGCTTTCGTTTTGTCATAGATGGGCTACTTAGTAGAACCAGTTTAATCTTGGTTAATCAGAGGTGAATACCACATCTGACATTCAGCATTTAAATAGAACCCTCATCAGTATTTTCGATATAGCTACAATTTTAATTTCTCACATTTAGTCACAAACGTGCTTTTGTTCAAAATTTCCTTTAAAAACATGTCTACCCCAAATGTCTCTGTTAGCCTGGCACACACCACAGTCTGTATTATTCCCCTCTAGTGCCATCCCAATTGTTAGATATTGGGAATAGACTCAATACTGGTTGTGTCTTTATTTTAGAAATTTATGCATTCTGCATATGTTGTTATCTGTTTTAGAAAGAGCAGTATTTTTTTTAATTTTATTATTGCAGCTTCTGGCATATTCTCTCCTTTAGATCTTACATTATTGTATTATTTTTCTGGGAGTAATAAGATTTAGTTTTGCTTTATTAATTTATTTTTGTTTTTATGAATTTAAGGAGCAGACGAGTTAAATCCACCAAATCTGCTGTTCCTCAGTCTAAAGGATTAACCAAGGATCTTCATAGTTTAGAAATCTTTCATAAGGTCCTTGAAATAGATGGCCTGGGTGCCAGTTGACTGTTAACTGTTGATATTTAACAATGATTGGGATTTTTGTTTATTTGTTGTTATTACTTTTCTCTATTTTTTAACACAGGCATGCTAAGCCCCTGCTCTACCAAAGAGCTGCACCCAAGCTCCCATTCAACAGTGTTCAGAGTTCTCTTACCCAGCCCAGAATGCTGTTTAAGACATTTTTGCTCCTGGGACTAGTATTGCAGACCTGTAATCCACTCACTCTGGAGGCTGAGGCAGTAGGATCACATGTTCAAGGCCTGCCTGAGCTACAGAGTGAACTCAAGGCACAGCCTGGAGAATTTAGAAAGAGCCGTCTCAAAATAAAAGTAGCTAAAGGGCTGGGGATATAGCTCAGTTGGTGCTAGGAATCAAACCCTAGTGCTCCACAAGAGCAGCCAGTGCTCTTAACTGATGAGCCATCTCTCCAGCCCCCTCTTGTTCTTGTAATAACATTGATAACAATGACTACATGATGCATCTGTAGTTTTAAAAAAAATTAAAGCGTATGTTCTTTTAAGGAAAAGAAAAAAAGTAGAGAAGAAAGAAGAAAAGGTCTAAATCATCTTTTCCTCCAACTATTGCAATCTAGAATTGGAAATAATTAGATCCTTTGGTCAGGTTTCAGTTTTTCTTACAGTCACATCATATTTATTTAATGTATGCATTTATCCCAAATTTAAAGAAAGGAAGAGAGAATAAGTATTTAATTAGATTTAATTAGTGTGTCATTCTGTCTGCTTTCTCTGTGAGCAAATGGCCTGGTGTGAATGTATGGTGGAACCCAAATTTCCCCTTCATTCAGTTGGGTTTAGTTGCTGTGTTTTACGCACAGTGTAAGGGTCTCACAATATGATTGCTTTTTGTGTTACATAATCCATAAACGCAAGCTAACAACTGAAATACAATGAACAAACAAGCAAGCTGCCCTAGCATATGAAGAGAAGCTAGCTGGCCATACTTACTGAAGGAGAATATGTTGATATCTAATCAGTTTAATAAAATAATATAATTTTAATAAATGTGTAGTTTTGCCTTGTATGTTAACTTTAGAACTAACTCAATATGATTCCTCATGTGTAATGCCTAGTAGATGACAGTCATGATAAATCAGTGGTGAAAGAATTAATACCTTTGTTTTGTGCTTTAGATAATTCACCATCTTCAGAGTTCATAAGTAAGAGCAGTTGTAGGTAGTGGGAGAGGAAGAATGTAGAGTTAGATGGAACAGTGCTTATAAATTGCTGTAACATGACTGACCCACGCTTGTTTATACTAGTTTATTTGGGATGTTGTGATAGCTTAAAAAAATAAAAGCAAGGAGAAAGAGGATTTTTGAACATGATTATATAGTTATGGGTGGGATTTGCTCTCTGGACTGAAAGACTATAAACAAGAGTTTCTTTCCCAAAAGAGTTTATGTAATCTGCATTTCGTGTGTGTGTGTGTCTTTCTGAGACAGGGTTTCCCTGTATCCTCAGCTGGCCTGAACTCGCTGTGTAGACCAGGCTTGGCTCAAACTCACAGAGATCTGTCTACCTCTGCCTCTCAAATACTGGGATTAAAGGTATGCACCATTATGCTTGCCTCATAATCTGCATTTTTTATAGATGCTGTCCCTGACAGTGCTCAGCTGTTATGGCGTTTTAAATTATACTTATCTTTACATCATGCGTGTATATTTTTCTTTAGGTTTCTGTATATGCTGTACCAGAAAAGATTGGTCAAGTTCACCATGCCTTGGACACCACTGTGAAGCTCCTTAAGTTTTATCAGAACTATTTTGAAATTCAGTACCCACTTAAGATTTGATGATAAAAGGACAACCTAGGGTGTCATTCCTCATGATTTTTTTTTTTTTTTTTTTTTTTTGACAGGTTCTCAATATGCAGCCCCAGCTGGCATAGAGGTCATAGTGCAAACCTGGCTGGCCTCGAACTTACAGAGATTTGCATGCCTCTGCCTCCTGAGTGCTGAGACTAAAGGCCTATTCCACCATGCCCAGCTATCTTTGATTTTTATTGAAATTTATAAGCAAGATTTGTTTTTGCAAATTGTTTTTAGATTGTTTTCCAGAATTATTCTAAAATAAAACCAAAAAAACATTGGTAATGCTGTAAAATTTCCACTTGTTAAGATTATTTAGATTCTTTGAATGTCCAAACTTGGAGCTTAAATTACTTAGATTATTTACAAGTTTATGGGGCTATCGAAATTTGCTTAGGGATTGTTTGACATACTCTTAACTTCCAAGATATTCCTGATTCAAGTAATAAAAGCATATTGGGGGCCTATGAAAGCAAAAGGAGTTAAGTTCTGTTCAGTGTGAAGCTGGCCCTGGAGAAGAGGAATGGGAGTTAGCTTGAACTTTGTCCTACTTGGTCTAGGAAGTTGATTCATTGTAAAGGAATTAGGTTTGTCTTTGGTTTTTATTTGTTTGTTTGTTTGCTTACTTGCTTGTTTTGTTGTTTTCACCTTGTCAGGGTACAGTGGAACTGTTGATACTGAAAGGGCATTCTCAGGTCTTCCTCTCTTGACAGCTAGGTAAAGAGCATGTAGATCTAGAAATAAAGGAAAATTCCATGTGTCAAAAAGCATGAAGAAATCACTGCCTTCATTGGGTGAAGTATCTTGACTTAGAGAGTTCCTTAGAGGAGAAGTTAATGTCTTCTTTCTTCTTATGCGCAGATTTGGTGGCCATTCCTGACTTTGAAGCAGGAGCAATGGAAAATTGGGGCTTGCTTACATTTCGAGAAGAGACACTTCTGTATGACAATACTACTTCTTCAGTAGCAGATAGAAAACTGGTCACCAAAATTATCGCTCATGAACTGGCACATCAGGTATTGACAACCAGTGCTGTTACATCTCACACTTATGATCAATTTCATGTCCTAGAGTTTTAGTCGACATTTATGTTATTAATTATTTAGTATTTTTAGTTTTACTGTCATTTAAAAATAAATGCTCTTGTTTTTAATAACTACATTATTAGAAGCAGCATTTCATTACAGCTCTAACATATTCAGTAACACACTCCAGAGCAAGAGTACATCTCTTTCACAAGTGGCTGTAAATTTCTAGGTTCACATATGTCCAGAGGAAAATACTATCTGCATAAGACTTATAGTTTAACTCATTTTCACATCCATTATCTCACACCACTACTGTTCTAAGGTAAGTGCCAATTCTGTTCTACAAATGTAAAAACTGAAAATCAACTCTAATAAATGATTTGTCCAAACACACTGCTGTTTAATGGTAGCACTGAGCCTTGAAGAGTAACTGTATCTTCAGAATATCTTTTTAATTTCTCCCTGTGCTGGGCTTTGTGTTTGCTAGGCAGTGCTCTACCACTGAACTGAATCCCTAACTCCTGGGATATCTTTTTTTCCTTTAATAGTATGAACCTGCTTCACATCTGGCAATTGCCAGCTGCTCAGTATAACTTTATAGGGTAGAACCTTTTCCTTCAGTTGCTCTAGCTTCCTTTTTGAGAAAGTGCCTCACTGTGTAGCTCAGGCCATCCCCAAATTCCTCCTGCCTCTACCTCCTGAGTACCAGATTACAGGTGGGGGCTATTATACCCAGCTTTCTACTAACAACTCTTGAATCATAGTTGTCAGGACCAAATTTCTTTCTCTATATCCTGCTAAAATTGGGTTCTCTGTTAATGTGGGAGAGGAATCTCCTTGGTATAGGGTGAAGAAATTCTTTGTATAAGATTTAAACAAGGGGCTGGAGAGATGGCTCAGTGGTTAAGAACACTGACTGTTCTTGCAGAAGACCCGGATTCGAATTCCAGCACCCACATGGCAGGTGAAAACTGTCCATAACTCCAGTTCTAGGGGAATCCGACAGCCTCTTCTGACCTCTGTGGGCATTGCACGACATGGGTGCACTTACCTACGTGCAGGCAATACACGGGTACACATAAAAAATAAAAATAATAAATAAAAAAATATTTTTAAAAAAAGATTAACAAAAGAAAGAAAAGTATTCATATATTTAACTTCCCTTCCCAACACCTTGTCTCTGTTGTGCCCTGGACATGAGGTACTTTTCATCATATGATATGGTTTGGGAAGTTGTGAAATGGCAGACTATGAAGACTAGAGAGTGCTGTGATCATACTCTGCCTCAAGCATCATCTGTACATGACTCTGTGCCCCTTGTAAGGACTGCTTGTCAAGCTGGTATACAAAGCATTTACAATATTCATTGTAAATGACTGAAAGATAAATTGCCTTTTGTGGAATTTTTTTTCTATTGTTATTTCTGTGACCACCCATTACCACTTAGTGTATTTCTCTTATTTTTCCTTTAGGGCTTACAAATCATTTTCCCCATTGAACATATTTTAAGACAATACTTTAGAAAAATAAATATTGTAATTCTGGTGTTTTAAGCCAGATGATAAATGATTGTAATTCTGAAGTGTTTTAAGCCAGATGTGGTGACACACACCTTTAATCCCAGTACAGTAACGGAGGCAGGCAGATCTCTGTGAGATCAAGGCAAGCCTTGCCTACATAGTGAGTTCGTGGCAGGATGGCGCTACAGGGAGCGCTGTCTCAAAACAAACAAGCAAACAAAAAGGTGTTTTGTTTTCTAGTAACCTCATCTTTTGCTACTGATGTGAAATAAACCCCAGGTATATGAAATTTTGCATTATCCTTGACCACTTTGTAATTCAAGTATTTTTAAGAGAATTTATTTATTTATGGGTGTATGTGTCTATGTACATATATGAGCATAAGTGTGCACACATGTGCAGGTGCATGTACCTATATGTGTGTGTGGAGGGCAGAAGAGGGCATCAAGTATCCTCTATACCTCTGAGGCGGGTTATCCTCCTGAATCTGAGGCTTGCATCTTGGTGAGAAAACATTTAAAGATTTTCATGATTTCATTTGTGTGTGTGTGTGCCAACTTTCTATAGAAATGTTACTTGAATTCTGATTTGAATTCATGTAAACAATGTCTTGAACTTGGGTGACTGAAGAAAAACATGAAATGCAGACTATCTGACATAGAAGCTTCTTTACCTGTCATAGATGGTTGTAGATATAGCGGAAAAATAACCTTACTAACTTGATATTAAAGAGAATAATTTCATTAT